AAGCCCCCACAGCAACTTCTGTGGTCAAAGAGGGAGTCCTTGAAAGAGATTTCAAGGTCCTTCCCTGACCTTGGGGTGTCAGGGAAGTGAATTTGGGATGCAGAGCAGACACTGGAAGCCAGTAGTTGCCCCAGCAGCAAGTTGCCTGACCTGCTTCTTCTCTGGAGCGTTTTTTTCTGTGACTTAGCAACCATCTGCTGATCCACACTGAGGAGAACTCAGAAGGAATTGGCGAGAAATGTACGTGCTAATGTATTCCAAACATGCAACAATAAAAAATGAGTAAATGCCCTGAGAGTTTGTCAAAGCAAGTACTGTCCATATATAAACAGAAAATAATGAAGACAGACTGTTCAGCCACTTCTGGCTTCTTCTCTGCACCCTTGCCTACACCCCCAATACCCTACTCATGTTCATTTTTAATTGCATTCCCCAGACTTCTCAGCTCAGCACCATAAGGCAATTACAAATGTATGATTTCAAAGAGTTGGACCCAGGCAAGTGTTGCACAAACCACCTCAACTGGTTTTCAGATTTGAGGATAAACAGTTAATGCTACATTTTTTGAGACACTAAAAATGATTAAGATGAAGCCCAGAAATGATAACTCTTATCTCACAAATACGCCCCCCGGCTTCCCAAATTAAAGCAAGCTTATGACAGTCATCGTAGTGAGGTGATGTTGAGTGTTTCCTTTCAGGCAGGCACTCCAAGATAAGAACTCAAGTCTATAAACATAGTATAACTCTGAAGCATTTTCCCCAGTGTTTCCTGTTTCTGATCCTTCTCGTATAATCTCTGTTAACACTACAGTTTAGCAGCTCATCTAGGAAGTGTCTAGCCTCAATACCCACTGATGTGTGTGTGGGGGGAGGGGGGTCTTGGAAGGCACTGACAAGTGTTGAACCAATTACCTTGAGAAGTTTGTTTAAATTTAAAATTTTATGGTTGCCATAATCTGACCAAGTAGTCCAGGTTTGCCTTGGAACTGTCCTTGTTTTCAAAGTGAAAGTCTCTAAACCTATGAATTCCTTCAGTCCTAAGCAAACTAGGACAGTTGGTCAGCCTGTTTCATTGTCACAAAATCCCAGAAGAGGCCAATGGGAGAGCAGAGTACAAGTCTAGTTCCTCTCACCTCCTTAACTCCTTCCAACAATCTCTCTCTCGTGGTTGCTTCGTTTGGATGTGTTTTCCCACATGAGGTTATAAAATGTTCTCATTGGTGCTGCAGGATAATGCACTGGACCACAAAGTCAGTTTGAACCACAAGGTCAGTGGTTCAAACTCACTACATGCTCCTTAGAAACGTTATACAGAGTAGCTGTGAGTCAGAACGGACTCAATGGCATTTAACAACAACAACCTTGTCTCTCTATGCCTTCTTGGTGTCTGACTTTCCCCCACAACAGGATTCCCAAGGATTCCATTACTGGATGAGCCTCAGTGCCTCTCTCAGCCTCTTGATTAACCCCTGTGTCTCTTCATATTGTCCTCTACAACACACAGAGCCTCTCCCCACACTGGGTCTACCACACTGCTTTGAGCTCAGGGCACCCACTGTGGTCTTGGCTATCACCCGTCTTCTCCCCTCATGTTAAACAAGCTGTTTTAGGTAAAGGAACCACCTTGCTCATCTGTATCCCTGATCCCAAAAGCCTAGCAGAGTGGCTGGCATAGCTTCAGAGCCTGCTGGGTTGAGAAGTGGGCTTTGCAATCCTTGTCTTCTTCCATGCTGGCAGTGACACCTCACCCCCAGCTAAGGCTCCTCTAACAATGACAGCCCCTCTTCCACGGGCTTTACAACTTAGATTCCTTCCTCACCAGTTTATTAGTGGGACACAACCCCTTTCCAGACAAGTCCCTCTGAAGTTCTTCTACCACATGCTGCAGAATTGCCCGGCTTTCTTAGTGACCCAATGCTAGGAGCACCCCTCCATACCCCCATCATCCTGGCCCTCTCCACCTTCCTCTGTCCCTCTCCTCCAGTCTCTGTTTTGGCCTAATCTGCAGGATCTGGGCACCTCTCCAGGATGCCAGGTCACTAGGTGGCACTGTGGGGCAGTCCATGGGTCTGGTAGGGTTAGGATGGGGTCAGGATCCTCAACCAGGAGGAGTACCAGCCTGGGACTTCTGCTGTGGATGCTGAGTGGTCTGGATCCCAGTTTCCTCACAGGCAGGCAGGCTCATATCTGTGTATACGAGAAGAAGATGATGTTGTTGTTGTTATGTGCCATGGAGTCGGTTCCGACTCATAGCGACCCTGCACAGTGGAGGAAAAGACAAGAAAACCATCAGTGTACCATTTTGAGATGAAGGTTGTGTATATAACATAATGCATTCAATCAACTGGACAAAATGATTCGCTTTCTTACAAAACCAACTAGTTCATTATTATTTTTTTTTAATACTCTGTAAGAACAGTTGTTTTGCTGGAGCAACATATCATAATGTTGATTTTTTTAAAAAATGAGTAGATTTACCTATAATCAGACATAGCCCTCAGTTACCTTTAGGGCTACAGTTTTCATTGTGATAGATTTGCATTTGTAGCATTTATGTAATAAGTTGATAACCAGGAAGTCAGTCTTCATCTCCTTCCACCTGTCCCTTTGTCATGAGCTACATACGTTCTATGGGGTTCATAATGAGTTAAGTCATTAATAACTAATGTCTTCCAGCCAGTGCTTCAGGGATCACTGCCCTGTAAGCTGTAGAAGGAAAAGCAACACACTGAATTAGTCGATGAAGCTAAATTGGAATGTGTTGTGAGCATCACAATAGATGGATACAGAACCACCCCATCCCTCCCCCCAAGAGGAAAAAAAAAGAAAAAGAAAAAGCATAAGAAGTCAGAAATGCAATAAGGTAATAAAACATTCTCATGGAAAATTACAAGCTACAGCTGGAGAAGGAGAGGCAAGAGATGCTAGAAAACAGAGAGTCAATGAAATAGCGGGATTTGGAAAGCAGCAATGCTAGGGAGCAATTTATGGGGTGAGACTGGATGAGTGTGCAAGACACTGTGACAGCTAAACAAGCAAAGGAGCGTTCAGCTCTCACAGCCGTCCTGCATGCTGCACGCGGCCAGAGCCCTCGCCCCACAGCTTGCGGCATGTGGTGGCCATACAGCAGCCATTTATTGAGCACACAATCATGTCATCCTTCAAATCCCCCTACAAATCCAGCCAGGAAACTGAAGCTCCGAGAGGTGAAGCAGCTTTCTTAGGATCACAGATCTCAGAAGTGACAAAACTGGGATTTAAATCCAATAGCTTCCCTCTTCCAAAATCTCTTCTCTGTACTTTATATTCAACTACCACTTGGTGAGTGAAGAGACAGGGGGCAGGGGGACACCCTGCAGTCTAAAGCTGGCAGAAACACTTGCCCGCAGTCAGTGAAAGGTGTAAAGGGACCAGGAGTCAGATGACTTGGGTGCTGCCGCTTATTAGCTGTGTGACTCTAAGAGTGTCACTTAACCTCTTTGTACTTCAGTTCCTTCAGCTAGAATGTGGGGGAAATAATATCATCTATACAGCAATGTAAGGAGCTCTGGTAGCGTAATGGTTACGAGTTGGGCTGCTAGCCTCAAGGTCAGCAGTTCGAAACTACCAGCTGTTCCACAGGAGAACAATGAGGCTTTCTGCTCAGTAAAGATTTACAGCCTCAGAAACCCTGAACAGAGCAGATTCCATGGAATACCACCACCACCGCAAAGCAATGTGGTGCTTGTTAAATAATGTCAGTATAGGTTCTTGGTGAATGTTGGTGTTAGGTAGGTGCCTTGGGTTATGTTCTAATGGCTGTAGCTTCCTTTTGTTATTCTTGTTCCTAGTTGCCCTTGAGTTGATTGTGATTCGTGATGACCCATTGTGTGCAGAGTAGAAATGTGCTTCGCAGGGTTTTCAAGGCTAAATCCTTTGGAAAGTGAATACCAGGCCTGTAGTCCAAGGTCCTTTTGGGGATTTGAACTACAAACCTTTTGGCTAGTAGTGGAGTGCTTAAACATTTATGCCATCCAGAGCCTCCTTGAGATTCACAAGACTTAGTTAAGCCTTGGATTTCACAAGTAAGCATCTATTGTTGTTGTTGTTGTTGTGTGCCGTGGAGTCGGTTCTGACTCATAGTGACCCTGTACAGGGTTTCTGAGGCTGTAAATCTTTTGGGGAGCAGAAAGCCTCATCTTTCTCCTGTGGAACAGCTGGTAGTTTCGAACTGCTGACCTTAAGGTACGCAGCCCAGTTCGTAGCCACTACGCTAAAATTATATAATTGGAAAGCAAGGTGACAGGGATGTGATGATGCTGGACTTCATCCCAAATGCAGAATGACTAAAGGAAAACAACTGATGACTTGGAGAAGAGGAACATGAGCGCCGTCTTCAAAGGTTTGACTGAAAGTCTTGGACAAAATCAGATTGATTCATTTTGAGTTGCTCCTGAGCTGAGGGCGAGATGTATAGGTTGGTTTGTATTGTAAAAGGGACACTGGGATGGTCATGAAAGGAATGTCAGAGGGCAGATCCTGGAACTCCTCTGCGCTTCAGTTGCTTTACAAGTAAAAGGAGTTGACAGATCAAATGCATCTTAACGTATTGTCTGTCTCTAACATGCTATATTTAATGGTTCTAAAACTTATTCTGAGGTCCAATTAAACTAAGTATAAGAAAACACCATCTTAACTAGAACACCTCAGTACTTTAGTGAATTACCTTGAAAGAATTGAGCTACCTGGAACAGGAAGTAATCATTTGAGATTGTTGTTGTTAAGTGCTGTCAAGTCGGTTCTGACTCATAGCAACCATTTATAGGATTTCAGAGGAGCTACTAGTGAGTTTGAACCACTGACCTTGCAGTTCAAACCCACCTTGTGGTCCAGTGCTTATCCTACAGTGCCACAGCAGGACTCCAGTCAGGGATGTGTTGCGTGGTAGTTGGGATCAAATGTGCTCTAATGATAATTTCTTCTGACACAGTGTCATGTAATTGCCTTCATTGCTTTCAGAATCGAGAGATGCTTCCATTTTGGATGAACAGCACTGGAAAGAGGGAAGGCTGGCAACATGGATGGCATGGCTATGACAACGAGCTCATGGACATGAGGGGCATTTTCTTGGCCTTTGGACCTGGTAGGCAAGGGAATGGCCAAGCACTCTTATTTGACCCCCTCCCCTGCAAGGGCATCCCTCAGTAGGAACTCACAGTCTGCTAAAGGCTTGAGTGATTTTTTTTTTTTTTTTTTTAATGTACCATCTTTATGAGAAAAACTGAGAAAACCCAGCCGGTCCCCACAAAACATCTTTTGCTGGCTTCTTTTCAAATGCTTCTTGGGTTTGGCAAATGTGGTCAAATACTTTTCCTTGTAAAATTTAAATCCTGAGTGCAATGAAGAAAACGTATTCCACATGTTTGTGATTCATTTTTTACTTAATTCATCAAAATGTTATTTCACAGCTATCTGATATCCTGGAAAGCTTATCAGACACCAGGCTGCTGACAGCTGTTAGTCTTGAAGTTGGCGTGATTACTTCTTGGGGTCTGGCTCTTTCACAGTTTCTTCCTATCTAAGCACTCACCCCATGAGGTTCAGTCAATTCAGGATCCAACCAGAAGCTAGGATGTGCTTGTAGGCAGGCTCCAAAGTGACTGAGGAACTGAATTTGAGAATTAGCCACAGTGACTCAGGAGGGCCTGAGTGAAAGCAAATTTAGTGTAACTTTCTTGATCAGAGTGACTGTTAAGGTTTGAAGAGATGTGGAATAAAATGGGCCTATTTGGACATTTGCTTTAATTGATCTAGCACTTTAAATTCCCATTTTGGAAGAAAAGGATTCAACAGTCAGCTGACTGGTTTGTAAGCACCTCTTGTTTATTACTACTCTCCACCCCTCTAATTAAATGTATTAAGCTTCCACCAATACCCATATTCCAAATACCTTTCCCAGACGTTGATCAAAATGCCCCAGTTCACAAAAGTCCACACTTTCCTTTCAAATTATAAGCTCGAGACCACATCAAGAAAGAAGTCCTCTTCTCTGTTAGCAAGAGCAAAGATAGGTCAACTCACTCCATTCCGTCTGCCTTAGGTCAATCTACTTCATACAACACAGCTGTTTAAAAACTCAAAGGTGCCAGTTACTGCAGCTGCCTCGGTGCCACTAGGGGCAGGAGTTAGGGAACACACTGGTCCAAACCTTTGACCACGTGTGATCTGATTTCCCAAGTCCCAAAGTGAGCCTCAGCATCACTAGCAGCCTCAGTAGAAACATCAGCAAAGCATCAGTAGCAGCATTATGTATAAAGTACTGACTAGGTTCATGACATTGGTCTCAGAGAGAGCTCAGAGGAAGTCCAAGCATGCAGCCTTGATTAAGAAAGCTTCTCAGGAGCTCCCTGCCTGCCAAATCCAAGGTCAGATAGGAAGAGTTCAGTAGTGCACTCAATTAGGAGTGGGCCATGAGAACTCTGTTGGGATCTACTGTGAGATTAAATTGGAGACATTCCCTAACCATGGCCTTTCTCTGAGAAAACGTTAGACAGCAGGGTTTTTATTCAAAAGCATAGCCCCTACCCTTTCCAATGGAGAGACAGAAAATTATGAATGCACAACAGTTGTCTGTTGAGGGAGTAAATAGGAGCAAGATTTGAAAGGCATGTTTTAAAGCAGAACTAAATCTAACTCCAGACTAAAAATTTCAAACAAAGTACCCAGAGCTTTACTAGCTTAAAGTGACATTCAGTGTGGAGAGATTATGTCCATTAACAAAGTCTTCAGTCATAGGCTCCTTTAAAACTAAAAGCCTTCAGTCTTTTACAGACAGAAAGACGCCCCCTGATGAAAATGGACTAGGCTAATTGCAAAAATGTTTCCAGGCAAAGACATCCTCAATAGCCTCCCGCAAACCATCACGTTTCTGGATCCAATTCTCATGAAAGATTGAACAGTTTTACACACTGACTGTTTACTCCGAAGAAAATTTAAGATCAAGGCCTTTAATAGCTATCTAGCTGCACTTTGAGATAAAGGTACATCCCTCCTGATTAATTGTCTGAGCTCCTTGCTTTGGGAGGAAGCTGGGCATCACTGTAGTTGCATAGATACAGCTGTAGAAGCCTGTAAGTCTGGCCCAGCAAAGAGAAAGGGAAATTATTCTGGGAGATAGCCTCACTCTAGTTAATCCCAGTTTCTAATTTGAACAACCTAATCTTGCCCTGGAGAACTCCACATTCAAGATAAGACAGCAGGAGTGTGATTCAGTGAGCTTGCCACAAGCAAGCCAGCCGCACTTGGAAATCAGCCCAAAGTTGCCAGGCACAGCAGCAACGTGCAGAGGAGCCTCTTTTGTTGGGATATGCAATTTTAATATCCCCAAGTTTTAAACTCATGGGAAGAACTTGGATTTCTAGTCTAGGTTCAAAATGCCATCTTGAACTACTGGAATTTGGCTGATGCTTCCAGACTGGATCAGGTGTAATTCATAGTTTTGCTATTCAGGAATTTCCTAGAAGCCCTCGTTACAGTCAGATCATCTCAGCGCTGGGCCCAAAGTTTTATCCCTGAAGAACACGAAACCATGAACTAGAAGGAACGAGGAGGAAAACCCAATTCTCCTTCCTGCTTACCTGCACAAGATTTGATTTTTTTTATTTAAATTTTATTTTTTTACTTTTAACGTAAGAAGATAATCTTTTCAAACATTTTTGTCAGTAGAACTCAATCTCAATTTCTCCTGGGAAGTTTTAAGAAATGGGTGTTTGGCAGGTTGGAGAAGAGCACAGTGGAGCTCTGGTAGCGTAGTGGTTACGAATCGGGCTGCGAACCTTAAGGTCAGCAGTTCGAAACTACCAGCCGCTCTGCGGGAGAAAGATGAGGCTTTCTACTCCCGTAAAGATTTACACCCTCGGAAACCCTGTACAGGGTCGCTATGGGTCGGAACCGACTCGATGGCACTTAACAACAACAACAACAACCACCCACTCACACAACAAGGACATGGCCACCGTGTGGTAGGGACATTTTGAGTAGCACATCTAATTATATGGCAAAAGAGAAAGAGAGAGGAGCTACTTCCAGTATCCATGGGATAGACGTTTCATTGATATCTCATTATTCAGCTGCTTGTTCCATCGGGAAATATAACCACCACTTTCATGTTAGTTATAAAATTCACCTTGGTATTAAGCAGCTAAAATACTGGGACAGCCCTTGCATTCTCCTTTCCAAGCAGGTTCTGGATTTAGGGGCTCCCCCCTTACACCTCATTTTAACTCTGAGATGATGCTGATCGTTATCTTTTCCATCCCAAAAGAAAAGTAAACTCCCAAATAAGTTTACCCTTTTTAGACATTTATTATACACTATGGCAGAGTTTCCTATGTATAACTTTCATCAGTATTTGCAACTCCAGGGTTAACACAAGAGCAAACTCTGGTGTTGATAATTCTGGAATATGTTGTTGTTGATGATTGTTTGCTTTTAAATGAAATATATGTGATCATTTTAGCAAAACCATTATAGAAATTATTTTTAAGGTAGAAAATTTGACTTTATAACTCTAATCTACCCATTTCTTTTAAAATCTTGGGTGAACTAAAAGTATAAGCTATAGGCTCTTATTGATGGATATTCTCCCCTCCTAAATTCAGTTTTAATGTAGCTTTGAATATTTTGTTGAAAACTTTGCTTTGGGGGCCTAAAAACATATGTATATGTTGTTAAGTGCCATCGAATCAGTTCCAACTCATAGTGACCCTGTATAGAGTTTCCAAGGAGCGACTAGTGAGTTTGGACTGCCAACCTTGCAATTCAAATTGACCTTATGGTTGAGTGCATTATCCTGCAGCACCACACCAGAACTTTAGATAGATAGATAGATAGATAGATAGATAGATAGATAGATAGATAGATAGATAAGATAGATATTGTGAAGTGCTGTCAAATCAGTTCTGACTCATAGTGACCCTGTATAGAGTTTCTGAGAAGCAGCTAGTGGGTTTAAATTGCTGATCCTACAACACATCAGGAGTATATATGTGTGTTGCTGTTAAATGCCATCAAGTCGGTTGAGACTCATAGCGACTCTACATAGGGTTTCTGAGGAGCAGCTGGTGAATTTGAACCACCGACACTGCAGTTCAAACTGAACTTGTGGTCTAGTGCATTATCTCACAGCACCACACCAAGACTTTATATATATATATATATATATATATATATATATAGTGAGATTTGTCCACTATCTTTTAATTCTGTTTTTCCATGAACAATTTGAAGCCCTCTTTTCTATCTGAATTCATATCTTCACTCTTGAAACAGCCAAGTGTTTTGAATTCAAGATCGTACATGCCTTCAGTAGAGAAGTAGAAGGTGGCACTATTTGTTGAAGTCTTTCCAAGGACATGCAAAATGACCTTCAGTGTCCTTCTTACTATGCTCCAATTGGTCATTCCTACTCTTTCTATTCCTGCTACTATAAAGGGTTGTGGTTGTTGTTCAGTACTGTTGAGTCAGTTCTGACTCATAGTGACTGTGTGTAGGGTGTTTGAGGAATGGCTGGTGCTTATCCTACAGTGCTACATCAGGACTCCATATATAAAGGATGTTGTTGTTGTTAAGTGACATTGAGTCAGTTCTGACTCACAGCAAACCTGTATAGGATTCCCAAGGAGCAGCTGGTGAGTTTTTACCACTAACCTTGTGGTTCAAATTGACCTTGCTGTCCAGTGCTTTATTCCACAGTGCCACACCAGGACATCACCTGGATATCACTGCTCAAATTTGGAGCAAGCCTCTGGTGGCAGCACAGTATACTCCTCCATCAGATCTCTCAGAGCCTTCACTTGGGTTTCTAATTCCAATACCTTTTCATGTATTTTCCACATGCCTAAGTTATTTTTATCTGCCAATGAAAGTTTCCACAGGAATGTGCAATTGCTCTTCCCAAGTATTCAGGAAATCATTGCTGCTGCTTCTGAGTTAGCAACATTGAGGAAACCACACGGCTTCCTGTTCCATCCAGTCCTCTGTGACCTCAACATAGCAGGAAAGTTAAGAAACATTCTTGAGCTGCTGTGGAGCCTCTACAGTGGAAACCAGCACCCTGGCTAACCTGTCCCAGCTGGATCGATGTTCTGGAAGATAAGCATACCATTTAATTTGGTTAGGAGAACCTAGCAAGACAGTCAAGCTTCCGTGCCCACACCTGCTCTCCAGCTCTCTGCAGAAACGGAGCAGCCCAAGCGGTCTTTATACTCCTTTAGGAAAGTTCTCTTATCACAGAGGAAACACAAAGAGAGTCTGTTTGCTGATTTTTCTTTTAATGGAAGGATCTCATCTCCATGAGCCAAAGAAAACAGTTTCCTTTCATAACCTTTGTTAATGTCAGCTGCCAAGCAGTCACCAACTGACTCATGATGAACCCATGCTCCTCAGTCCTGCATCCTCGTGCCCAGTTCTGGATCCAATCATTGTGATCTACAGGGTTTTCATTGACTGACTTTGGGAAAGAGATCCTAGTCCATCTTCAAATGAAACCTACTCACATCAGAGCAACACTTAAGTCTCTAACTAACAGTGGTGATGTAGGATAAGCATGGAACCACAAGGTCGGTTTGAACCACAAGGTCAGTGTTTCAAATTCACCAGCCATTCCTCAGGAACCTTATACAGGGTCACTATGAGTTGAAACCAACTCAACTGCACTAAACAACCACCACAACAACAGACATATGATAATCTGTCCCCCCCCCCCGCCCAAATACACCATTTCTACCAGGCCTATTTTGACTCATGGTGACCCCATGTTACAGAATAGAATTGCTGTAAAACAAAAATAGAGTATTTTGGTTAAAGTCTCAATAACCTACTTCCACTGTGCTGCTGGGTGGATTTGAACTACATTCACTTGCCCAAATCCTGTTTCATGAAGCTGATCCTCCATTCCCAGAGTTTTCTAAAACCTAGCATAATTCCTCCATCCATCATGTGATCTGGTCCTTTTCTGTCCAGTAACTGGCCATAACCATCTATTTGTCTTTCCTTTCAGATTTCAAATCCAACTTCAGAGCTGCTCCCATCAGATCAGTGGATGTCTACAACATCATGTGCAATGTGGCAGGCATCACCCCACTGCCCAACAATGGGTCCTGGTCCCGAGTGATGTGCATGCTAAAGAACCAGGACAGCTCAGCGCCATCTGTCCAACTGCACAGTTGGACACTGGTCTTGATTCTCCTCTTCCTGTTTGCATAACCAATATTATTGCTTGTCCCAAGACACTGTCAGCAACTGTGCCTTCAATGTGGAATTTTTTTGAAATTTTCTATTTGAATAATACTTTCATTAACATAATCAAGGCCATGAAAATTTAAATATATTATTCTTGGGTGATTCTATACCTAAAGTTCCTACTTCTTTCAAAACAAAAACAAAATGAAAAGCAACAAGAACAAACTGTTCTTACTTAAGGTAAAGAAAATCTCAACTTTCCTCCATTTATTCAACATATTTAATTTTTGTCTTCCTTTTAAAATAGTTAGCTCGAATGAGATACTCTCTCAGCAAGAACCTGTCCCTATAGTAAGCAGACTTTGAGCAGATTGTACATGGTTGTTCTGGGCCCCTTGTACAAAGCAATCCTCTGACCAAGTCCTCCATTGTGTGCTGACCACCCTTAAAGCCATTTTCAGACCTATGGCTACAATTGGCATGTATCTTTCATCTGAGAAAAGAGGAGGTCTACACTGGAGCAATTGCTACTACCTGTTTCCTACCCACCTTATCGTGTTTCTGAATCTTATACATCCAACAAGGGTGTATCTCAACTTGGATCACCAATCAACCAATATCATGAAGGGTTTAAGAATGCTTAGAACAAGATGTAAGATAAGAGTTTTCCCAAAGTCTGGACACAAGTTCTTCCTTGCCTTAAAGAGTCAAACCGCTTTAAGTTTTTGATAGATTATGGGCTTCTGTGAAAATGATCACAGTGTATTATGGCATGAAGCCTTGCTGGCAAACGGAGGGAGTGCCTGCCCTTGTATGAAGGCATCTACAGAGACTGACACTCTTTGGAGCCAGATCAGAGTACAGACTGTAGGCATCATGTTACCTGCTGTTAATTAGCCCCAACTAGTGGAGACCTTCTGCACACTGGACTAAATACTGCCTAGTTCTAAGCCAGCTCTGTGATCAGTTGTGAATTACACCATTGTGTTCATAGGGTTTTCATTGACTGCATTTGTGAAGTAAGTCTTCAGGTCTTTCTAGTATGTCTTAGCTTGGAAGCTTCACTGATAACCTGTGTAACATCATAGCAACACTCAAGCCTCCACTGACAGATGGGCAGTGGCTGCACATGAGGTACATTGTCTGGGAATCAAACCCGACTCTCCATATGAAAATTCTACCACTGAATCATCAGTGTCCTCAGACTATAGTAATATCTGACATAATACAGGATGGGAAAATGATGTCATACCGATGAGAGCATGGACATATCACCAGAAATCTGTTTATTGCTTAGAACTATGGTGCACTAAGAATAAATGTTACACAACAGAATTCCTGAAGCAATGCTTTCTTATCCAAGTGAGTTCCTCAGTCAACCAGAATGCTCATGAAAATGGGAGAGAAGATGATAAGGAGAGTGCAATGAGACCAAGCCTCAGTCAGTGACCAATTAACCATTTTGATTAGAAAATGAACTTGGTCCAAGTGTGCGCCACCTCAAAGATCTAGGCTCTTCAGAAACCACTGAAACGAGACATTGAGTTTGAAACAAATATTTTTACTTTAGTCATATAAGTTTGCTGCAGGAGACCTTGTTGTAAAACAAGGAATAACTGCATTTTTAAATGATGGGAGTCTTGTATGCATGAGATACTCCTATCCTATTGCATGAAAAAGTGAGTTTGCTCTAAATAAAGAATGCTGATGAGTGTGACAGTTTGTCAGGGGGAAAAACAAAAATATGACATCAAGTCCCATCAGGAAGATGGAGCCCTTATGTGTGGTTGTTGTCAGTATTTTTAGGTGCTTCAGGTCGATTCCTACTCATAGTGCCTCCATGTACAACAGAACAAAATAGTGCCTGGTCCGGCACCATCCTCACAATTGTTGCTATGTTTGAGTTTATTGTTGCACCCACTGTGTTTGCTCATCTCATTGAGTATTTTTCCATTTTTCACTGACCCTCTACGTTGCCAAGCATGATGTCCTTCTCCAGGGACTGGTCCCTTTTGGTAACATGTCCAAAGTATATGAGACAATGTCTCACCACCTTGTTTCTAAGGGGCATTCTGACTGTACTTCTTCCAAGATTTGTTTGTTGTTCTATAAATCCATGGTACTAATATTCTTCACCAACATCCTAATTCAAATGCATCAGTTTTTCTTCAGTCTTCCTCATCCAGTATCCACTTTTATATGCATGTGAGGCAAATGAAAATGCCGTGACTTGGGTCAGGTGCACCTTAGCTCACAAAGTGATATCTTTGCTTTATAACAGAAATTTTTTGTAACAGATTTGCCCAATGCAACCTGTCAATGGATTTGAATGCTGCTTCCTTGGGCACTGTTGTGGATCCATGTGAAATGAAATCCTCAACATCTTCAACTTCTCTCTGTTTATCATGATGTTGCTTATTAGTCCAGTTGTGAGGATTTTTGTTGTTTTTGGATTGAAGTGCAATCCACACTGAAGATTGTAGTCTCTGATCTTTAATAGTAAGTGCTCCAAGTCCACTTTGCTTTCAGCAAGCAATATTGTATCATCTGATTTTCACAGGCTGTTAATGAGTCTTTGTTCGATCCTGATACCACATATAGTCCAGTGGTGACACTGTGTGATAATGCACTGGACCAAACGGTTGGTCTGAACCACAAGGTCTGTGGTTCAAACTCTACAATTGCTCCTCAGAAACCCTATGCAGGGTTGCTGTGCGTTGTAACAGACTTCATAGCACTTAACAACAACAGCAACAAACAGGTTGAATAAGTATGGCGAGAGGATACAAGCCTGGCACATACTTTCCTGATTTAAAAACCACACAATATCCCCTGTTCTTGTTCTCTGTACATGTTCTGCTTGAGTACGATTAAGTACATATTCTCTGTACATGTTCTGCATAAGTACAATTAAGTGTTCTGGGATTCCCATTCTTCACAATGTTATCCATAACATTTTTTATGATACACACAGTTGAAAGCTTTTGAATAATTAACAAAACACATGAAAACATCTTTCTGGTAAGCTCTACTTTCAGCTACTACCCATCTAACATCTCCAGTGACATGCCTTGTTTCACGTCCTCTTCAGAATCTGCCTTGAATTTCTGGCAGTTCCTTGTTGATGTACTGTTACAATAGTTTTTAAACTATCTTCAGCAAAACAATTTTTGTGATATTAATGATATTGTTCAATAATTTCTGCATCTTGTTAGATCTCTTTCCTTAGAATTGGGCACAAATATGGATCTTTTTCAGTTGGTTGGCCAGGTACCTGATTTCCATATTTCTTGACATAGAGGAGTGAGCACTCCCAGCTTCACATTGATTTGTTAAAACATCTGAATTGGTATTCTGTCAGTTCCTGGAGTCTTGTGTTTCACCAATGCTTAAGTGCATCTTAAGCTATTCTTCCTTCCATACCATCAGATCTTTATCATACGCTACCTTCTGAAATGGTTGAAGGTTGACCAGTTATTTTTGATACAGTAACTCTGTATTCTTTCCATTTCCCTGAAGCTTCCTGCATCATACAATATCTTGCCCATAGACTCCTCAAATGTTTTAGCTCAAGGCTTGAATTTTCCTTTCAATTCTTTCAGCTTGAGAAATACTGACAGTGTTCTCCCCTTGTAGTTTTCTAACGAGGTCTTTGTATATTTCATTGTAATACTGGACTTTGTTTTCTTGAGCTGCCCTTTGACATCTTCTGTTTAGCTCTTTTACTTCATCATTTCTTCTATTCACTTTAGCTACTCTATGTTCAAAAACAAGTTTCGGAGTCTTTTCTGACATCCATTTTGGTCTTTTGCTTCTTTGCTGTCTTTTTAGTGACCATTTGCTTTCTTCGTGTACGATGTCCTTGATGCCATACCACAACTCTTTTGGTCTTAGTTCATCAGTGTCTAATATCAAAGCATATCAAATCTATGCTCCAGATGGTCTCTAAATTCAGGCGGGATGTACTCAAGGCTGTACTTTGACTCTCATAAACTTGCTCTAATTTTCTTCAGTTTCAATTAGAACTTGCATATGAGCAATTGATGATCTGTTTTACAGTTGGCCTCTGGCCTTTTTCTGACTGATGATACTGAGCTTCTCCATTGCTTCTTTCCACAATGTAATCTATTTGATCCCTGTGTATTCTATTTGGAGAGGTCCACATTTATAGTTCCCATTTATGTTGTTGAAAAAGAGAATTCCAATGAATAAGTCTTGTAAAACTCTATCATGCAATCTCCAGAGTCATTTCTATTACTTAGGCTATATTTTTCTATTACTGATTTTTCTTCATTTCCAACTTTTGAACTTCAGTTACCAATACTTATCAATGCATCTTGATTGTATCTTTGATCAGTTTCAGACTGCAGAAGTTGGTAAAAACTCTTCAATTTCTTCATCTTTGGCAATAGTGACTCATACATAAATTTAAATAATAGTTGGTCTTACTTGTGAGCATCAAGGTATTATCCTATCACAGGTAGTGTTGCACTTCAGGATAGATCTTGAAGTGTTCTTTTTTGACAATGAAAGCAACACCAATCCCCTTCAATTTGTCATTTGGAGGCATAGGTGACCAAATGATTGTATGATTTGAAATGGCAAATACCAGTCTTTTTCAGCTCATTACTGCCCAGGGTATTGATCTTTATGTGTTCCATTTCATTTTGACAGCTTCCAATGTTTCTAGATTTATACTTCATAGATCCCATGTTTTAGTTTTTAATGGGTGTTTGCAGCTGTTTCTTTTCATTTTGAGTCATGCCACATCAGCAAATGAAGATCCCGAAAGCTTTACTCCCTCATATATTTAAGGTCAACTACACTATGAGGAGGTAGCTGTACTCCAGTCATATTCTGAATGCCCTCCAACCTGAAGAGCTTCTCTGCCAGCGTTACATCAGACAATGTCTCACTGCTGTTCATAAGGTTTACTTCACTATCCAGATTTTTTAGAACTACATCTCCTGGTCCTTCTTCCCAGGTTGTTTCCTTCGTGTAGAAACTCCACTAAAATCAGTCCACTATGAGTGATTCTACCAGTATTTTAAATATTGGTGACATAGGTTTTAGTATCACAGCCACACACAAGCTACCACAGTCTGACAAACTAGCAGATATACAGTAGCTTTTACTATTGTTGTTAAGTGTCATCAACTCAATTCTAACTTACAGTGACCCTGTATAG